AGATGCCTTCTCGAGCCGGAGAAAGCCGGCATCTGAGGTACTGGAATATGCTTCCGCAAAAGTTAATGATTGAGCGCACCCGCCGAGGTGAGGACGGGGGAGGGCTGGAAACCTTAAAGTTCTCACAGCTGTGAGAATGCCGTCTCCTCTTTTCTGGCCTCTCTTGCAGTCGGCGGCAAAGTATTTAGGAAAGACAGTGTTGCCAGTTGAAGGACGAAGTCGCACAAAAATGACCCCCCAGGGAGTGATACGCACTACGTCTGCTAGTAGTAGTTGTCATAGTAGTGGCAGTAGCGCTAGTAATTTTAGTACGGCTGGTCGCAGTATAGGCTGTCACGGGGCAGTAGTAGTAGTAGTCACCTTTACAGTCGGTGTCAAAGTATTTACAGAGGACAGGAGGCCACCGGCTGGAGGGGCTTTGGTGACTTCACTGTCAGTTTCCGTATTTCAGCTCTTTACACATGATGTGGCGTGCTAGCAGTGACCATTAATACTTGAGGGTTGAAATAGTAATGAAACATAACTACTCGCTTATCACTAGTAGTATGCTGTTCTGTGGTGTGCTAGTAGTGGTCATACAGAACGCTGATGTGCCTGTGTACTTTCTAGGCAACCAGACGAAGTCGCAAGAACCGAACGGTTTAAATAATATGCACATCTTGTACGGAAACACCATATAAACTGGCGATGTACGGCAACATATATTTTGAAAGCCGCGGCGCATGGCAACGAAGAACATCAAAGCCAGGATGGCGAGGATGGACATCATAGAATTGTTCGACTATTTTAAAGTGTCGTTGCATCATAACATCAACTAAATAAGGCACAATAAACGTTTCGAAGACATTCTTTCATTCGTCGAGCCTTGAGTTTGTGTGTTTTCCTAAGTCTATTCACAGTAAATGGAGGATGAGTTAGCTACAAATTATTGAATTATATTTTAGAAATAAAACTTCTCTCCCAAAAATACCGTCGAACCACCTAAATACGCGTGCATGGCGGAGCTATCTACCAGAGTAGGTGAAATTTCGCCGCCTTTACACAGAGAAAAGGTGACTTTATGGAGTTGGGACAAGTTCGGGCGACGGGATGGGTTCAGAAAACGAAACCCGTGGGGCTGTACACAGAGAATGCGGACTTCTAGTCTAAGATTTTAATGTGCAAAACAATATACATTTTACAGCAATTTTAACCAGATTTGAAGAGGAGGACTGCCACTTGACCCAGGTAGAAGTATATGAAATGCTTGGTTTCGTGAGTAACATAGCTAAAAGTAGAAGAAATTTGGTATAGGTGGGTATCAAGCATGTGAGGCAAAACTTTACAAAACGCATTCATTCATTAGAACTAGACCGGGAACTTGTCCCAGTATGTCATTATTTTGGCGAAAATCTTTAAATTTCTGCAGACTCTCTTTCGTGATATGCCCCATGCTTATTTGTTTAATTTTTAAGATTTTTAATAATGGTTCCTCATGGTATCAACCCCATAAAGGCTCAGACAACTTTTCCAAACGCTCCGGAGCGGTACGTACATAATTTAATCAACTTTACGCTCGACAAACACCTGCTCGATGTACTATCCTCACCTAGGCCACACATTTTGTTCTCCTGTTAAAAGACCGAACAGGTTAGTGGCAGAATTTCGAGTTAAAAATCTCAGACACAGGACCTAGTGCCGACAACGACGGAGTATTTCAAATAAACGTTCGTGACTTGTTGCTAGCAATATCCTTACAACAGAATAATTTGGCTAGAGGATATTCCCTTTCGTGATAGCTTTAGGTCGCTTGAAATCACAAAAATACATACCTTTCAGAACCCACAGAACATCCTTGAGGCAGCGCTGAATACAGACTATTTGGTCCCGATGAAATGCAGCGTTTATTCTTCCAAATTGGGGACATTGGATTTTGTGTGATATATCTGACTAATATTTATTACCGGTAAACTGAGCGGTACAAGTCCAGCCCCCCTCCCTTAAGATGCAGCAAAAAGTAGGCAGTAGAGACCCTAGTCCCGGGATTCCGTCTCGCGGGACCGCTGTTATTAGTTTAGTTTACTGCATGGTGTATTCGTTTAATTTTAGCTATGGTTTAGCTCAGTTTAGTTAGTTCGCAGTATATTTTGTCTGACGCTGGCGGTATCTAACTAAAGCAAAAGTAAAATTAAACGAATAAACAAATTAATAAACTTAAACCTTAACTATCCTAAACGTGATGACAAGACTAGAGACTGTCCAATTCCTTCATGATAGCTCTGATTAATACAAATTACCGGAGGACGGAGAACTGAGCAGTAAAAGTCCACCCCCGTTGCCACCCCTTTAAGATGCAGGAAAAAGAAGATAGCAGATGCGTCGGTAACAGTTAAATTGGTCGCCCAGCCTACATAGTTCTAGTCACACAGTTCTACCTTACGGGACGGGGGATATTGACTTAGTTTTTGATTATTATTTAGTACATTAGTTTACTTTTAGTTAAGCTTCTTTTCTGTTCTAGTTTGTTTTCCAATTTAGTGTATAGCAGCTATTTAGGTATATTTTGCCAAGCGTTGGCGGCATCTGACTAAACTAACAACCAAAGGAAACCTAAATTTTAATAAACTTCATGGTGCCCAAGAGGCGCCATACCAATAAAACCTATTATTATTAATATACCAGATCCTAAACTATCCTAAAGCTAAAAGTAATCACGAAGTGGGGGTTGGCAGCATTTAAGGTGGGCGACTAAGTTATTTGTAACCAATGCGTTTATCCATACTACCAAGAGAGAGAGAGAGAGAGAGAGCGGCCTACCTGCCAAAGTTGCGGCCCACAATGCAGTGCCAGGTGGGATTGTATTTTCTGTCGAATTCCTTCTTGATGTAGGCGGCGATGTCCTTCTCAATGTTGAACTTCTCCAGAGCCTGGGAAGCCAGATCCACG